CCTAACTCCTTCAGTCTTTTTTCCACAGAGCAGGTTCTGTGGTACTTTGATCATGTCTCTGCTTTGGATCCTCCCCAGTCTGTGTGTGTCTGTTGAATTGTGGGGACCAGAGCTGGACGCAGTAGTCATCTGCCTGACAAGCTCTGAGCAGATTGGGATGATCACATATCTTTCTCTACCAGTAACACCTCTGCTGGTGCAGCCCAGCATCCAATTTGCCTTTGTTGCTGCAGCAGCGTGGTGCTGACTCATGTTCATCTTCCTGCCCACCACCATCCCCAGGTCCCTTTCATCAAGGCCACACAGCTCCTAGCCCGTACTAGGACCTTTGGTTGTGTCATTCCAGGTAAAGGAGGACCTTGCAGTTCTCTTTGTTAAGCTTCAGGCAGTTCTTGGTTGCCCACTCTTCCATCCTGTCCTCCTGTCCATGTCTCTTTATAAGTTGTCCCTCCATTGTGACATGTACCGACCAGTTTATTGTCATTGGCAGACTTGGTGAGGGTGCTTTTAGTCCCCTCATCCAGATCATTTATAAAAATATTGAATAGCACAGGGCCCAGTATCAGACCCTGGGTTACCCTACTTATGACAGGCTGCCAACTGGAGTAAAAAACATTGAGCACCACCCTCCAAGTACAACCTGCTAGTCAATTTCCTACCCATCTGGCAAACTACATATCAAGTCTATGTCCTGTCAGTTTGTTTAGGATGATGCTGTGAGAAAGTGTCAAATGCTTTGCTGAAGTCCAGATAAACAATATGTACTGCTTTCTACATGTTGACAGAAAACTGTTGTAGAAGGTGATCTGATTAGGCAGGCATGATTTGCCTATGATAAATCTGTGTTCGCTTTTCCCAATCACCTGTTTCATTTAGTTTGTAACAGTTTCTAGGAGGACTCATTCCACTATTTTGCCAGGATTTGAAGACTAATGATTCTGCAGCTTTCTGGGTAGATTTGGGGGCCCTTATTATAGATGGGTATGACATTTGTTCTCTTCTAGTCATGACTATTCTCCATGACTTTTCAAAGATTATAGGCAGGGGCCTTGCAATGATGTCAGCCACTTTTCTTAACATGCTGTGGTGGATTCCATCTAGACCCACAGGTTGATGTGGGTTGAGTCCTAGAAAAATGCAGCAGACCAGACCTTTCTTTGGTTCTGGTGGGTCAACATATGTATTATCATAGCTACTTGATCCTGTGATCTGGTGCCTAGCTACACTGCCAAAGACAGAGGTGAAGAAGGAATTGAGAAACTCTGCCTTGTCAGCATTATAAGTAACTGGTGTCCTTGTCCTATTTGTCAATGGGCCTTTGTCTTTCCCATGCTTTTGCTTAGTGCTCAGATATCTGAAGACTCTTTTCTTGTTAGTCTTGACATTTTGAGCCAAATTTACTTCTAACTGAGCTTTAGCCATCTTTACTGCATCTCTATATGCTCTAGAAAAGTTCTTGTAGTCCTTAATAGGTCTTCAGCTGGTCTATAGCTGGTATGCTTCTTTTCAGCTTTTAAGTACATCCAAAAGCCCACTGTTAAGCCAGGATGATCTTTTGTTCTGAATTCTTCCTTTCTCTTGTTGGGAATGGACTGTTCTTGTGTTTCCAGAATGCTGTTTTTAAGTAAGTACAAAAATGTACAAGCTTCTTTGCCCTCCATGAATGGTTCCCATGAAACATCTTGCAGCTGGTCTCTGACCATATATTCTTACAAAACCCAGGGTCTTTGTCTTACAACTGGTATTCTGTGTACTCAAAAGGATACTACAGTCCATAATGTTATGCTCCACAAGGTGCTGCATGCAGGAAGGTGCATTTGAAGTGCTTCTACACAAACACACACGGTATAAGGAATAAAATGGATGAGCTAGAAGTCTTGGCCCAGTCCCACAGCTACAATATCATGAGCATAAGCGAAACCTGGTGGGATGAGTCCTGTGGCTGGTGTGTCGCAATAGATGGTTACAGGCTCTTCAGGAGGGACAGGCAGGGTAGGGAGGTGGAGGGGTGGCGACGTACATGAAGCAGGGGCTGGACTGTGTGGAATTTCAAGTTGGCAATGGCAAAGTTGAGAGTCTCTGTGTAAGGATTAAGAAACAAACAAATAAAGGGGATGTCATTGTGGGAGTCTACTACAGACCACCTGACCAGGACAACAATACCAATGAATTATTCTTTACAAAACTAAGAGACACCTCGAGATCAACTCCCCTTATCCCTATGGGAGACTTCAACTTGCCAGATGTCAGCTGGGATCACCACACGGCTGACACAAGCAAATCCAGGAGGTTCATAAAGCACCTAGATGATAACTTCTTGGTGCAGGTGCTGAGGGAGCCAACTAGGAAAAGTGCCCTCCTAGATCTGTTGCTGGAGAACAGAGAGGGTCTTCTGGGGGATGTGGCAATTGGTGGCTGTCTCAGCAATAGTGACCATGAAGTGGTTGAGTTTAAAATTTTTGGTGACAGAAGGAAAACTGCCACCAAAACTTCAGCCCTGGGTATGGAGAAAGTAGGCTTCAGGCTGCTCAGGAAGCTAGTCAGCAAGGTCCTCTGGGAAACTGCTTTTGAAGGCATTGGTGTCTATCAGTGCTGATCAGTCTTTAAGCACTGCCTCCTAAAAGCACAAGATCAGGCAATTCCAAAATATCGGAAGTCAAGCAGGCAGGGCAGAAGGCTGGCTTGGCTGACCAGGGATCTTATCTGGAGCTTATGTGAAAAAAAGAAAATGTACAGCTCCTTGAGGCTCCATTTTAGGGCCAGAGCTCTTCAGTGTTTTTATAAACTATTTGGATGGAGGACTAGAAGGTGTTTTGAGCAAATTTGCTGATGACACCAAACTTGAAGTAGTTGTAGATTCGACTGAGGGTGGAAAGGCCTTGCATAGAGATCTGGACAGATTGGAGAGCTGGGCGATCACCAACTGCATGAAGTTAAACAAGAGCAAGTGCTGAGTCCTGCACCTGGGACAGGGCAACCCTGGCAGTGTGCCATGGCAGCCAGGAGGGCCAGCCGTAACCTGGAGTGCATCAAGCACAGCATCGCTAGTCGGTCGAGGGAGGTGATTGTCCCACTCTGCTCTGCACTGATCTGGCCTCACCTTGAGTGCTGTGTGCAGTTCTGGGCACCACAGTACAAAAATGACATGAAACTGTTGGAGTGTCCAGAGGAGGGCGACAAAGATGGTGAAGGGCCTAGAGGGGTAGACATATGGGGAGCGGCTGAGGTCACTTGGCCTGTTCAGCCTGGAGAAGGGGAGGCTGAGGGGAGACCTCATTACAGTCTACAGTTTCCTCGCGAGGGGAAGTGGAGGGGCAGGCAACCGACCTATTCTCCTTATCACCAGTGATAGGACCGCGGGAATGGTGTCAAGCTGAGGTAGGGGAAGTTTAGGCTAGACATTAGGAAGAGGTTCTTCACTGAGAGGGTGGTCGCACACTGAAACAGGCTTCCCACGGAAGTCGTCACTGCACCAAGCGTGTCTGAATTTAAGATGTGTTTGGACTGTGTGTTTAGTCACATGGTCTAAACTTTTGGGTAGACCTGTGTGGTGCCAGGAGTTGGACTTGATACTTATGGGTCCCTTCCAACTCGGGATATTCTATGATTCTATGGTTCTATGATTCTGTGATTATGATTTCTGTATCCAACACTCTGTTTGATTGTCAAGTACATCATATTGGTTTGTAAGCAGTAAATCTAGCAATGCACTATTCGTTGTTGGCATTCCCATCATCTGTAGGATATAATTCATAATTCATTCTAGGAACCTTATGGATGACTGCACTGCTGTGTTTTTCCCAAGAACTATCCAGGTAATTGAAGTCACATATAAGGATCGGGTTCCATTGGCCCAAGACTTCCCTGAGAAGTTTGTGAAAAATTTCCTGCTATATGATTGACAATCTCTGCCAATAAGTAATCTAGATTTGGGCTGAAATGTAGGCAGAATTTAATTTTCTTTACACAATTCTGTCCTGCCCACCCCCACTATACAACTGCTCTGAACAAGATGATGTATTTCATAATTTCAGTCACCACTTTTTTATATTTTACTGTTTTGTGTTTTTGTTTGTTTGTTTTTGGTGTTTTTTTTTTTTTTTTTTTTTTTTTCCAGCTTCCACCATGTTGTAGTATAAACTTCCAAAATAACATGGGAAGAAATACAATCATAAATGGCATCAACTATTAGCAGATGAAATGGACGATTGATAACATAACAAAATGAACATGCTAGAATTATGAGTAATTCCTCCTTATTCATATTGCCTGAGTTGTGTCTAGAGAAAGCTCTACTCTGGGATCCAGTCCGGGTTCCCTCACTTCCTACAATGAAACAGTTGTGTTCAGAGGGGAACAACCCTGAGTTTTGCCTCCATGGTTGAAAAGCCTTGAATCAGCATTGGAATTCTGTGAAGGCTCACTAACAGTCTTGGGAAATACATGGTCTCTCATTCCACTTCCTGTAAAAATCTCTTTCTGAATGCTAGTTGTTGATAAATGCATGACTACCAGACATACACAAAATGAATTGGATGAAATCCAACATCTACTAGTGTAGGAGGTCTTAACATTTCCAGAAATTCTAAAGTCTGCAAAAACATGTTGAATTTTGTGCTGGTTGACAGGCAGACCATAATCCAGAAAGACTGATCTTACTTTCTTAGAATAAAGAAATCCAAGTTCTGTCAAAATGTTAACTGTGAACGTGCTCAAGTGATGAAAGCGAGCAAATTGGGGCATGTCATTTGGACTTCAGACTGGGCTTTAATTTAAACTATCAGCAGTTCATGTTCTAGAACAAAAATATGCTTCTGAGTATTTTGTTCAGGATGAAAGCTTGGTATTTCAGTTTATTAATTTTTAGCTCTTACTGCATGAAAATGATTAGTAAGTACGTGTTGTATTTACACCATTCATTTTCAGGAAAACTATATTGCTTCAATTTTACACAAGAATTTTGATGGTTAGTTACTGAACTAGTTTTATAATTTTCTATAGCTATTTACTTCATACTTTCTAAAACATCTGGAAACAGAAGCTGAGTGAGAGGAGGACAGTGAAAGCTCAAGGATATACACTAAGGTAATAAAGTATAAAGAAATTTGCATTGAGTCATGCTTTGTGTATTTTGTGGAGACTTTTTTTTTCTGTATATCAGTTCATAATCTTTGTACATAGACTGCTACCCACAGAAGAAACATTATATGTTACTGATCCAGGAATAGAAACAAAGACATTTCAACAAACAGGTCTCTTATTTAAGGTAATTTTGGAATATCTATTTACATCTGGAGCTTAGTAATGCACTGGATATTTCCGGAAACAGGCCCTAGTGTCTTTCAGTTGGTATGTCAGGCTAACCACTGTATGTGTCCACTTTGGGAGCTAACTAGTTAGAAAAGTGTGTTTTCTGTGCTTTATGTGAATGAAAACATATATGGGAGGAATAAACAGAAGCAAAGAGAAGTCACCTCATTCATTAGTATAAGCCTGACCTCTGAACACTCGCCATTTTAACTGGCCTAAACATTGGAGCATGTGTAGCTTGGTCATGTTCTAAACAATAGTTTTGTTCTATAAAATATCACAATCATTACTGGGATCCTGGTTTCTCCCTTTCAGTTTACTTGTCTTACAGTGAGAAAATGCTTGAAAACACCCTATCTTGTCAATATTCAACAGCTTTCTGAAGAGCACAGTTATACGTGTAATTAACAAGAAAAAAGTTTTGTGAAAAACTGCCTCAAACACCATTAAAAATGGTGACATTCATGCTTTGGTTTTCTGACTGATTAACTTCTGTATACAAGGGAAAAAAAATGTAATAATTTGTTTTAATCAGAAAACCCTCCCTGCACATAATTTAGGGAATGTAACTGTCAGATGAATGGAAAATTAGCTAGAGTATAAGGACTGAGCATGGGCATGTAGTGACAACATAATGACATGGAAGTTTTATTCATTATTGACTTGTTTTTAAAAGGTTATTTCCCATGGGAACTTTGGTTTTTGCCATTTAAGGGACTGAGGATTGGTAAGTAAATGAAATGGCTGAAGCTTAAACCTCACAAAGATAGCAGCATCATTCATACCCTTTATGTATCTTCTTGCACTTCTCTTCCACCTCTGGAATTTATACATTCAATGCAAAATTGAAGGCAGCCTGTGGGATTCCATTTTCAGGGTGACAAATCAGACTAGTTCTTGTATTGGGAGTGCAATGCTTTTTCCTCTTTCTTTCCCATGCTGCAAGTTTATTTGCTTCTTCTCAGAGGTGCATGTCACTTGGCTGGAGCCTTGGAGGATTCAGCTGATGGTGCTGGTACTTGCTGGCTGGCTGGTCATCTCACTGGGCCCTCAAGAGAAACATGATGCTACTTTTCTGGCAACTGAAGGTAACACAGAAAGGATAGCTTTCCAAAGCTCTTGGTTACATCCACATCATAAACAGCATAACATAAGTGCATCTGGGAAATGGGAAGACCCATTTTTCCACAATAATGTATTGTGGAATTGTATAATTGTATTGTTGCCATCACCATCAGAATTGACTGGGGTCAAGTTTTCCCAGGGGGCCCTTTATCAGAGCAAGTATTTATTTTTGGATCTGTCTCTTTATTTCAGTGAGTTTTTGGTTTTTTTTCTTTATAGAACAGTTCTTGATGGACATATGAACATTTCTCAAATTATTCTTTGTTAAATACATGTATATCTACTAGCCAAGTAGCAGAAGAATGTATTATCCTGGAACTGAAAGACTAGGTACATATTGCCTCTATCCAAAAGTTGTTTCTGCCATACAGTGTATGGAGAATATGGATCATATGTGGGTTTGCACTCAAGTTTATGCTTTAATGACTAGTTATATTTTCTCTTGTGAAAGGAGTAGGGTTGTTGTTGTTCTTTTGTTTTGTACTTTCCTAGCTATTTGCTTGTTGGAAAAATATCTTTGGTAACAAATTATAATTCTGTTGGATAAAATAGGGAGCAAAAGAGATTTAAAATACCGTTTCTTTTTTTCTTTCTTAAAAAAATCACTGCTTTTTGTCACTTTTCAGTTGTCAATAATCATTGATTGTGTTTACCTTTATACATTCACAAGAACCACAGTAGTTACCCTATTATGACCTCTTTTCTCCAGGCTCAGTTGAGCCGGGAAAACATATGCCCATAGTTACTCCATGTTACTCCTATGTTAAATATGTTATTAAAAAAAAAAAAAAAAAAAAAAAAAAAAAAAAAAAAGAGAGAGAAATTGAGAGAGAGAGAGAGAGAGAGAGAGAGAGGTAAAGTCTCTTTGTGTGATTTTCTTGGGTTTAATACCTGAAGCTCCTCACATGAGACCTTTGGTACATTAGTGTTGTCACTCAGAGATTCCAGTATCAATGGGAAAGTAGCCAAAATGTTGCTCTTCTTCCTTTTCCTATGAAAGTTAACCTAGTATTTCCTTCAAAAGATATTTCTAAAGAACTTACAGGAACAAGCTCTGGTTCAATTCCCAGCACGTGCTGTGCACCTTATCCTCTCCTGCTGCAATATTTGGTTCTATCACTGTATTTCCTTCTCTTTTGTAATTGTAGCTCATGACTGACCATTTATAAAGCAACCTGGGGTTTGACAGTTTCCTAATGAGATGTTACAAGCCCTCATTATGGCTACTTTCAAACGGCTGAATGCGGTGTCTTTTTTTTTTTTTTTTTTTTTTTTTTTGTCATGGTTTTCACTTCAGTGAGAAGGTTTAGCAAGCAGGAATTCTTTTATTTCATTTGTAGCCCCTTATAGCCCCTTATTTTCAGTTCTCTAGAGAAGATGATTAACAGAGCAGCCCTAGAGAGATTTAAGTTTTGAATGTTGAACTCCACTTAAAGTAGTCAGTTCCTTTTCCCAATTTAGCCTAAGTTTTGGCAACTTAGAGATACATTTTCATTCTCAGGTACTCTGAACAATATCTTCTCTTTACCCCAATCTAATCTTTGGAGATAGTCTGATGCCTTTCTCATGTTGTTTGGCGGACACATGAGAAGACTGTTAATCATCCTCTACATCCTACTTAGCCAGCTGGATCAGAAGATCCTATTTTCTAGGCAGATTTATCTGCTATACTGTAACCTACTTTGAGATTTCAGCCCTCATTCCACTGGAAATAAACAATGTAGTGATGAGAAGAAATCAGCTCCTTTCCAGATTTTAAGGTTGTTACCAAGTCATTATTCTCTGAAATGTTGCAGGACTCCTTAACTTTCTAAGAAAACAGGCTACGGAATTTTGAAGTTGGACACACAAAAAAGCTTACATACCTCAGAATTTGGCCTTCATGTCTCTGTGGTATCAGGCTTCATTTGAAAAATGGGTATCTATCTTTCCATAGATCATATTTCTGGCAATAGATCTTCCAGTATGATACTTATATGGTATACATGAAATTAACAGGAAAATATGTATGGTAAGTGACTTTATTTTTTATGTTCAAACTGATATACTTCGTAAGATGTATTTTTTATAAAGCAAATATGTGGTTCTCTAAAGATATTCCAAGAAAATCACTGATTTATTCTTAAAGATAAATGTGATGTACAGACAATTTTTCATTTATATATTTGTCTAAGAGTGGAATGGCACCAAATACATATATATATTCAGTCTCATACAGACATTCTCAGAAAGAAAGAGGGGAGTATTAATTTTTCCTTTTTTGTGTGGAAGAAAAAAATACATAATTTTTAATTCAAATATAATCAATTAACATTTGCAGTGCCTGTTATATCTCCTGCTACTTTCAGTTTTCATTATATATTTCATTAGCTTGAACATACTATTGTGTCACTTGTGCAATAGCAGTCCTCTACATGAAACAATTGTCTATTAAACTACTCTCTACCTTCTGTAACATTTAGAAGCTACATAGTGAATGAGGCAAGGAACAGTAAAAGGAGATTATTTCTTCAGTTAGCTAGCTAAAAGTCAAAAGAATTTCTCCTTGTCATCGAGTCTCCTTGTGATGAGATACTACCTATTTAGGACAATTTTTTACCTGAAGTCTGTTAGGTTTCTCATTTTTTAAACCTCCAGCTTGAGATGCTGCTGATGCGGTTTGCATATTTTGCATATTTTGCTGTCTCTGACATCAAGGAGGTTTATGTTTGCATTTACCAGGTGATGTAAAAATCTTCAATAATCTTAGAGAACAAGAGGAATATGTCCCATATTGATACCCCAAAAGGTATCAATATCTCAGGATTACCTCAGGATTCAACCTTAAAGTATCTGTGATAACAGTCTCCATCTATAGAATGGGTGATGCTGAAAGGTGTTCCATATAAACATAGCGGTATATGTTACAGAAGAGTTCTTCAGAAAATCTGAATTACATATCAACAGGAAGATTTAACAGTGTGACCTAGAGAATGGTTTTTTGTTTGGTTGGTTGTTTTTTTGCTTTTTTTTGTTGTTGTTGTTGTTGTTTTTTTTCAGTGAGCATTTTTCATATATGGCAAGGAGTAGATGTGTGACCTGTGGAAAATAGTATCTAATTTAATATTGTGTAAATCCACTTATTTTTCCCAATGATTACATTTGTTACTTCATTATGAAATTGTATTATTCCGATTATATTTTATAATATTATAATTATATTACTATTTAGTAAGCATTTGCCTGGCAAAGTCCAGATAACTTTGGAAACTAAAACAAAAAATGTTGATCTGTTCGAGGGGAGGGGTCCGCAGAGGAATCTGGATAGACTGGGCCAAAGGGCCAAGGCCAACTGTATGAGGTTCAACAATGCGAAGCACCAGGTGATGAGGGCAAATGGCCTCAGTTTGCACCAGAGAAGGTTTATGTTGGATATCAGAAGAAACTTCTTTACTGAAAGGGTTGTGCAGTGCTGGAATATGCTGCTCAGGGAAGTGGTTGGTTCACCATCCCTGGAGGTCTTCAAGAAACATGTAGATTTAGAATTTAGTAGTGTGGCTTAGTGGTGGACTTTAGTACTACGCTAAAGGTCAGATTAGTTGATCCTAGAGGTCTTTTCCAACTTGAATGATCCTATGATTCAATTATTATGTTAAGCATCACTCTTACTCAGCTGTGGTAATCCCTGTGTAACATGGATTCTTACAAAGAAAATAAATGAGGAATAAAAAGAAAAAAAAATATATTTTTTCTTTACATTGTGTGTCTGCAACTTAGGAAATAATGTAATATATATCAGCAAAAAACTTCTTTACCTTTCTGCTACCTACAATGAAACAGAGTGTCTGATAAAAATGACCCTTCTGCACCACCCCCAACTTGTCTCCTGTGTGTCCTTTGTGGTTTGAAGAAAACTCATTTTTACTACACCTTTCCTGATGGAAGGCATAAGACAGATGTGGATTATTTCTTTTGCCATCTGTCTTGATGTACATTCTCACAGACTTGAAGGATCAGAACAGTTGTTTAAGTTGACCTCTATTACACTTTTGGAGCATTTGCTTAAAGCATCTATAATTAAAGTTCTTTGTAAATTTCCGTGTAGATATAAGATCTTGACCTTGGGTTCTCCTATCATTTTGGTGTTTGATCCCATCTAAACCTACTATGTTATGAATCTACCAAATTTACCCATTACATGCTGTTTCTTAATTATCAGAGATATCACTATCAGAGCTGAAATTTGGGACTGATGCATTTTACTAGAAATCTTTAACTGAGAGCACATCTTTGCTATCAAACTTCCACAAAGTGCTACAGGGCATTTTTTTCAATTATCACATACAATAGTGTAAACCATTAATTTGTAATAGCAAATGCAAATACCTAGAGTATTTCTGAGACACTATTCCTTCTCTATTAGACCTATGATGCCAGACTGAAGGAAAAAGAAGAATGATTTAAAACACAATGAATTTCAAAGATATTGCTTGTAACAATACATTCATTTTTCTTCACCTCTTATTTCAGTGTTGTATCTCAGGTTCTGGTATTGTCAGCATTTTCTATAACTCTGTTACTTATTAGGTGTACCTTTCTTTTTCTTTAGGCAGTGTAAGTCTACAGACTGAATATCAGTCAAACAACTAGACTGAATAAGAGACTTCAAACTACTAGAGATTAAGAGACCCTCACAAGTAATTTTACTATGAAGAATTTTTGTTGTTGTTGATGTTGGTTTTTTTCCACTTCTTTGGAAGCTTTTTTTTTTTTTTTTAAGGGAATATTGATTTGCATGATTGCTATTTACACACTTTTTTACATCTCTTTAATAAGTGCAAGATTATAATAAGCATTTTTTTGCATGCAAAAATGATACTATTTTGATACAATGATACTATTTTATGTGCACAAGCCAAGTACATATTTTGGAAGGTATCTTCTGGGATGATTCAAAGTAATCCCTTATTTTATTTTACTCTGT